ACATACACATATATGGTGGTAGTTATGTGCCATGGAGTCAGTTCCCACTCATAGCTATCCTGTACAGTGTTTCCAGGGCTGTAAATCTTTACAGGAGTAGAATGCCTCATCTTTTCCCACGGAACAGCTTGTAGTTTCAAAGTGCTGACCTTGAGGTTCGCAGTCCGATTCGTAACTATACTACCAGATATATATATATATAAAGTATGTTGTTGTTAAATATTATATACAAATCTCTATATATAATTCAACTTTGAGAAGAGATTAATAGGCAGAGTTACTTGCATTTTTTTAGAAACAGTGAACTAATCTAAGCAGAATAGGAAACTCAGATGGCACTCACCAATTCAAAGCTACTCTGCATAGTGTTTCCAATGAGCATCTGGTGGGTTTGAACCACTGACCTTTCTGTTCAAAATGACCTTGGAGTTCAGTGTATTATCCTGTAGTACTGTGCCAAAACTCCTTATACATGATAAGTACTGAATAATCAATCAGTCAGAAAACAAAAATCTCTGCATAGACCAAAGACGTTAAAGGCCAGAAATTATGAAGGATTAGACTAGGGTGCTAGAAATGGAAATGGTGAAATGCATTCAAATTTAGGATATATTGTAGAGGCAGTGCTACCAAGACTATGGAGTCCTAGCATGGTGCTGTAGGATAGGCACTGGATTGCTAACTGCAAGTTGAAGGTTCCAACCCACTAGCCACTCTCAAAAACCTTACACAGTGTTGCTATGAGTCCTAAACAACCAGATGGTATTTAATAACAATAATAACTACCAAGACTAAAGACCCATGATGGTACAATTAAATTCAGCTGCTAATCAAAAGGATGATGCATTGACCCCACCCAGAAGCTCCAAAGGAAAAAGACCTAGATATCTGCTTTTGTAATCATTGTTGTTGTTGGTGTTAAATGCCATTGAGCCAGTTCCATCTCATAGCAGCCCTGTATAGGGTTTCCAAGAAATAGCTGGTGGATTTCAACAGCTGATCTTGTAGTTTTAATTCCAGTGATTATTCTTTAGCACCACAGCAGGTGCCTAGAATACCTCATGGGGTGATTTTACTCAGTCTCGTTGTTGTTGTTGTTGTTGTTGTTGTTGTTGTTGCTGTTAGGTGCCATCGAGTCGGTACCAACTCACAGAGACCCTTTGTACAACAGAACGAAACACTGCCTGGTCCTGGGCCAACCTCACTACTGTTGCCACGCTTGAGTCCATCGATGCTGCCACTTGGCCAATCCATCTCCCTGGGGGTCTTCCTCTTTTTCTCTGACCCTCTGCCTTACCAAACATGATATCCTTCTCCAGCGACTGGTTTCTCTTGACAATATGTCAAAAGTATAAGGGACAAAGTTTGGCCATTCTGGCCTCCAAGGAGCACTCTGGCTGCACTTCTTCCATCACAGATCTGTTGGTTCTTTTGGCAGCCCATGGCACTTTCAATATCCTCCTCCAACACCATAACTCAAAGGCATCAATTCTTCTACAGTCTTCCTGATTCACTGTCCAGCTTTCACATGCATATGAGATTATTGAAAATACCATGGCTTGGGTCAGGCGCACCTTAGTCCTCAAGCTGACATCTTTGCTCTTCAATACTTTAAAAAGGTCTTGTGCTCTACTGCAATACGTCATCTGATTTCTTGACTGCTGCTTCCATGAGTGTTGATAGTTGATCCAAGAAGAATGAAGTCCTTGTACACTTACATTAAAACAAAGAAAACTAAAAATCTAGATAGAAATCATTTGAAATGCACAAACCAAATGTTTGATTTATAAGTAGTTTTCTTGGTAGCAGACAGAGACGGTAAGATCACAAGGTGGTAGCAGTGGTGGTTGTATGCTGTTGAATTGGTTTCAACTCATAGAGACCCTGCATAGGGTTTCCAAGGCTATACATCCTTTTGGGAACAGAAATCCTCACCTATAGAGGTGAATATTATAAATCCAGCATATAACATTAATAGGGTAGTATAACAGTTTAAAAATTCTATGAGTTTTTTTTACTTAAAAATCCTATTCAGAGTAAAACTTAGTAAGTATCTAGATATGGAAACATCTAAATAACTATATTAAAACATGTATCAGGTTTCTCAGGATTGATTTATATGTGTGTATGTTTAATTGGTTGGTTGGCTAGTTTGTATTTAATATTTTTAAAAATTATTTATACATCAGTTTTTAATGAAGGACACAAAGATGGGGGAAAGAGGGGATGTTATAAAGTGAACCTGTCTCCAAATGTGACAAAGACAGGTTTGAAAGTTACCAGTAAAGCTTCCTAGACTTTATAAATTTTGTAGCACACAGAAACCTCTCCCTATTGCTAGAGAGGAAGGATTTTCAGTTATTAACCAATTAAGTGGTGATTGTGATTATAAGATGCATTGTTTTGAATGTGAGACTGGTTGAGCCCAGACGAAGTATTTGGTTGAGTAGGTAGCTGCAGAGGCTGGGCTTCTCACGCATTCCAGAGCAACACTGCTAAGGAAGATGGTTACTTTGTTAGACTGGGGATTTTCTAAGCAATTTGGGTGTGCCTTGTCCTGACTGTTCATTTTAATTATGTGTCAGGGCCAGGAAAGGTAATAGAGAAAGAAGATACAGAGGAAAGAAGTCACATAGAAAACCTGTTGTCATGGCTGTCTGGTTATATAGTTCAAGATTTGTCAACCTATTGTGGGACACAGTAAACCAGATATTTTCCCCTGTCTGGGTCATCGTTTTCTTATTTATAAGGTGGTGTGGACTACATCTGTGTAGTTTTATTCTCTTTTTTTTCAATATGCTTTTATACTTTGCCACAGAACAATTCTCTCAATGACCAGCCTAAATCTCAACCACAAAATGGATACAACAGGCAACTCTATTAGAAGTAGAAAGTGGAAAAAGAGACAAAGAAAGGAATGCAGTTAGAGCCTGTTCACATGCCAAACACTATGACCAATTTTTTAAAATTAGTTTTTCATTTGACTCACACTACAATCCTTCCTTTTGAGACCCAGAGGCAGATTCATTACCCAAGTGACACAGACAGTAAATAAGGACTTGAATAGGAACTTAGTTTTAGGTTCTCAGGAAAGCTTTCGTTGGAAGTAAAATAGGACAGCAAAAATGAACAGTAGCCACGGAAGTCACCCATCACATTAGCTTACTCCACCTCTTAGCATTTGTCAAGGCCCAAATCTTTTTGGAAAGTTGAGTAATGGGTTGGGCAAATGGACAAGCTATACCAGATATTTAGCCCACCCATGTTTCCTCCCTTCTGAGTAGTCGAGTTCACATCAGATATGACCTAGTAATTAGAAAGTAAACAGATAACCCTAAATAAAGTCAAGCATAAATGTTAAAGCCAACATGACAGGTTGACTCCAAATTGTCTCACCGTTGCTGGGGCAATGGCCCTGGTGACTCTTGCCAAATGCTTGGCCTTTTTCTGAGATTTTGCTTCTTTTTCCCTGAAAGAGGTCAACAAATTAGTTTAGTCATGCTTACTCAATTTTTATAACAACTTACACTGTGAACTTGATTTGGCCTTGTTTAAGTGCTACTGATTGCTGTTCTCAGTCCAATCTGGCATGTCACAATTTGAAGGAAGCACAATACTACAAGTCTCTATGCAGTGCTAAGTAGTATCTCAAACTCTATTGCGGAGAGTTTCATCATGCAAAGAATTTCTACCTTTAGCTTCTTAGCAAACTACCTCCTGTGAAAACTTTTAACAACCTAGTGAGTCTGCATGCCTTATTTGTTCCAGTCTCGAGAGACCTAGAGAACAAGTCATTATTTATCCTCTCTCAAATGTGGTCATTCAGCAATCTAGGCATCATTTTTAGCCCATGCACAACCTCCTGCTTTTCAGATTAAAAAAAAAAAAAATGTGCTTGATTCCATCATAACTGATATAGGTAATAAAAATAATAATTGAGCCAATGACCTTCAAAGTGATAAATAAGCTACCTTATAAGTCTTTTGGGGAGTCCTGGTGTGGCGCTGTAGGTTAATGTACCAGACTGCAAAGCCATTTGAATCGCAAGGTGCGTGCTTCAAGCTCACCAACTGCTCCTCAGAAACCTTATACAGGGTCATTATGGGTCGGAACTGACTCAACGTTTCAAGCTCATCAGCTGCTCCTTGGAAACCCTATACAGGGTCGCTATGGGTCAGAACTGACTCCACAGCACTTAACAACAACAATAGGTCTTTAGGTGCTTTTGTTCAGAATCACATATAAATGTAATTTATTTTCCAGTATTACATTCATAGTGTGAGTCTCCTATTGAAAGCAACATCCAATGGCCAAGATAAAAACAAAAAACAAAAAAAAAAACCGCTTTATAGTACATAATACAAATGCTGGTCTACAATCAGCTTTCAAGAAAACAAGGCTCAATTTTGTCTTGTGTTTTCTCATTTTTCCCACAGTCTTTTCACTAGAAGTAATGCATGTGATTAGAGCTTCCGGATCCCAGCGTTATTGATTATGTCAAATTAAATCCCCTCACACACACCAGCCAGCATTTAAAGAGGCAATTCTCACATCATTCACTTAAATAGGTAAGCTTAGTATTGGCTTGTCACCAGTGTTGATGTTTTGTCCATGGCTAGAAAGTAAGGATGATTTCCCACTTCAAAACTCAATCAGGACACAGTAGCTTGGAGATTTTTAATAGCTAGTTTAACCCCCTTCCTCCTTAAGTGGAAGAGAGGGAAATCAAATTAAGAAGCTTTGGATAGATAGATGTGAGTTAACTAACCTCTCCAAGATCTCAATTCTTTTTGAGCTGCAGAGAAATCGAACCTTCTAACTACCCTTTAGTCCAACTTTTTTTTTTTTTTTTTTTTAATACCATTTATCCCAGACTTAAAAGGCACTGGCACTTTACAGAGACGGGTTTATACTACTTAAATCCATCTGGTAGTTTACTGCTACAAGAAGTATCTGGTGTAATTCCCAAAGGGCTCTTCTCAGCCTCTGGGTACAAGAGAGTCAGGTTCTAACAGGCCTAAGGAAGCTGGCTTTCTCTCTTTAATTTTTTTTTTCCCCCTAGTGCCATGGAAGCTTAAAGTGTAACTACATTCACAAAAGACTAGAGTGTTGCATAAGGCAAAATTGATACTGGACCCTCTGGAATGCTTTGGGATTATCACTTATAGTAATAATTAAGACCTTTCAGGTAAGTGTCAATTAATCTGACTTTATCTGGTGGGAGGTGTCAGAGTGAACAGCTAAGCATTTCATTTAACTTTATAGATTTAGAAAAATATATTTGAAAGGAAATATATATATATATGTGAAATTATATATATATATATGTGAAATTATATATATATATATATATGTTTGGTAGTCAAAAAATAACTGGTAACTTAGAAACTTGGATGAAAGAGGATGGTTACTTACAATATCACTTTGCATCTGGTACATTTTTGGATAAACATTATTCCATCAGGGCTTTGAAAAAGATTTTTATCCTGGAAACACAATAATCTTCCAGCTTTCATCAGTGCTCGAAATTCACTGCATGTTTCCTGAGGAGAAGATAAAGAAAGTTTTGTTTACTTAAATCTCATCAAAGCAAGACTTTTATTTCTAAGAATTTCCTTGAGCAGTGTTCACACTACCCACCTTTATGTGGAAGACACTCACTCAGTTGACACAAGTAGTAAAACAAAATTAATGAATCTGGCTTTTCTCATGGAGATTGCATATACACCTACTGAGCATTTGTCTAAAACAATTAGGGGAACGGGAAGTACACGGGACTTGGAGTCAGAAGGCCTCTGAGTCCTCATTTATTTTTCCTAGAGCTTTAGCAAGTAACCTCGCAATAGCTCAGTTATCCTATCTGCAGCAATAGGGCATATAAGTATTAACGTTTTATAGGTTTTCTGATAATTAAATATGTTAAATCTGTAAATCCTAGTAGATGTTCAGTAAGCAGAATCTCATCTTCCTTCTCCTCTATTATTATTGTCCAGTGCTTGTGCTGTTGTTGCTGTTGTGATTATTATTAATATTATTATTCTTAAAACATGTTCAAATGACAGTAGGCTAGTAATAAATGCTTTAAAAAGGAATATGCAAGGGTTCCTAGAAGACTGATAAAGTGTGTGAGCCTAGGAAATTAAGGTGCCTCTGCCAACATTTCCAAAAGGATGCATTGCAAGATACCAACTCCCAGAAATATCAGTAGTTGCTAAATGAAAACACTATTTCTTGATCACATATGTTTAGAAAACATATTTCTACCAGACGTACAATAAATGACTATCAGGTATCAAACACTGGTGATAGCATGGTGAACAAAACAAGCAAGGTTCTTCCTTTTTTGGAAGGAATCAAAGGTTTTTGATATTTCATATGCCTATGAACCTTTACTATAAAGCTAATGAAGCTTAAGTTTCAAGGCCCCTTCATTGCTCCAAGTCCCTGGGTGAAACTGAACCATTAATTATTGAACAAATCTGTATTGTTTTTTCTTTAAAGCACTCCGCCCCTATCCTGCCACCACCACAACTGGTATCTACTGGAATTAAACTTTGTAATCCTATGGCGGTTCTCTATAGTTTTTAGAAAACGTACTTAAACCTATCTTACTTTTCTTTCTTTCTGTCTCTTTTTCCTTCTTTATATTGTTTTTGCCACATTCTCCTAAAAGTACAGTGTTACCATTGTATGGAACGTCATACAAGATGTGTGCTGCTAAAATTAGATGTTGTTTTGTTGTTGTTGTTGTTGTTGTTTGTAAATGCTAGTGGTAGCACTGTGTCAAGTATAGGTGTCAGAGTAAACGTGATTTGAAATTATAGAACAGGGCATTAGATCTTGCAAGTGAGGGTTCTTTCTGTTTATTCATTCATTATTTAATTCAATATATATTTAGTAATTTAGTAAAAGGAGCTCTGGTAGTGTAGTGGTTATGAATCGGGCTATGAACCTTAAGGTCAGCAGTTCGAAACTACCAGCTACTCTGTGGGAAAAAGATGAGGCTTTCTACTCCCATAAAGATTTACACCCTCGGAAACCCTGTACAGGGTCGCTATGGGTCGGAACCAACTCAACAGCACTTAACAACAACAACAACATATTTAGTAAATGCATGTAATGTGTCACTCACTCTTCCAATTGCTAAAAATTAATGGTGTATTTACATAACTTGGTGAGATAATGACTTAAAATATTAGATTCCTAACTGACTTAGAAAATCTAATGGTTCTTTATAGTAAGGCTTTAAATTTCAAAGACGTTTATTTTGTGTGTGTGTGTTAATAAAATAGAAAAAAAACCTGTGTAAAAGTTTTCAGCACAAAAAGATTTCATTCAAACTCTGACCAATAATAAAGCCTCTTGCAAAGGACATTTTTAATAGAATTTCATTTAGCCCACTGCATCTTTATAATAATTCATCAATAAGTTAACATGCATTATAAGATTATAATGTTACAGGCATTTATTTGCTAGGTGCTGTGGACACACCAGCAGATAACATAGGAGAGTCCTTGCCTGAAGGATGCTTGGACAATGATGTATATAACCTATCCTTTTATAAATGGGAAACTAATCGGAGCGAATCACAGAATTATTAATGGTGAAGAAGAAAAACTAAATGGTATCTGAGACCAGTCCTGGGGGATTTTTTCTAAGGGTGACCTACTAAAATGTGTTTAAGCGAATTTTCTTTACCTAGTGATCTTATCTGAGCAGGACAGTAATGATATCTACAACAGATTGAGAACTGGACCTCATAAACTCCTGGTCTCTGATTATATAGTTACCTATGCCAGCTATGGAAGTTTCTGCTTAGCTTGCCAGCTATAACTGATTCTAAAAAGTCTAGATAAGAAATTTATAAAATCAGAAAAGAGCCTGGTGTTTTAGTAATAGCAATACTACCTTGTGAGGGAGGTCTTAGAGAAATATTGAGGACAAATACTCACTGGAATGAAGTTCTACATAATTTTTGTTGGTTGATGAAAAAAAGTCATAGCATAAATCAGAGTCATTCCTGAGTTGGATTTCCTCAATTAGATGACACCTTAGTTTCTACAAAGACTCTCTTTTTTACAAATAAGCAAACTAAAGTTCGGAGAGTAAGTTAAGAAACTTACAGTGTTTAACTAGTTATTAACTCCAATGGGACTCAGTAGTATTTTGGGTGTATCACAAAATAATCCAATTTATTCTCTCAGGAAACAGGAGACCATAAAATTGGAAAGCAGTAGTTGTTTTCATTATTTCTAATTACTGTGGGAAATCGGATATCCTCCTTTTTACTATAATAGAGTGGTTGTAAATAGGAGACGATCTGAAACAAAAAGTCATCCTGAGGTAGGGAAATGACTTTTTAGCAATTGTCTAACTGCAGTCTAACTTCTAGCCCCTTGTTTTTGCTTTGGTTTATTTTGGGGTTATTATTATTGCTGTTATTGTTAATGTTTTTCTCCACATGTCTTGAAAACACTAGAGCCCTCTACAGACAAGATCTTCCCCACTGGTTGTGATTTAATTTGTTGTCCTAGGTTATTTCTGCCCAGACACCATAATAAAGCCCCTAGCAGCTACTATCACAAAATACAAATGTTAAAGCACTAACAAGTTTGCCTTGGGCTTCATAATAACTTTGTTGTGATGGAATCCTTTCAGATTATTACATTACTTTTCCATGCTATCCTGGCTCATGTTTATAACACTCAACAGGACTTTTATGGTGCCTGAAAGAACCTAAGCTAATGAACTTTAAAAAATAACAAAGATGCTAACACTATAAGAAACACTAAATAGAGTTTTCATTTATGCCAAAATATTCATAAATTAGTATCACAAATGTTTCTAGAGAAATTGTTTTCTTTAAATTCTTGCTTATGCCACCATAAGTGGTAGTTAAACTTATGTTTTTAGATCACTTTTCTGTGAAACACACTTTAATGTTAAGAAAAGGATAGTGTAAATTTTTCTAAACACCCACCCAAATCCATCATCAATTCTTACTGATCTACAACAGAAAACCATGACACTGTGAGAATATATGATACCCTTCATTTTGCTAATATATCCCAAATGAATATGCGTCCTGAAAGGCTTGCACAAAAATACAGGCTTCTCTTTTAGTCTATGGTACTTTCAGTTGTCATGAAGCATTGTCAAACAGGTTCTGACTCACATCAACCCTGTATAGCGTTTCCGAGGATCAGCTGGTGGGTTTGAACTGCAGACCTTGTGGGTTGCAGTCCAGCGCAGCTCCTACAGTACCACACCAGGAGTCCAAAGCACAGGAGTCCAGAGTACTTTCTGTACCTCTCCTTAATTATCAGACTTAGAAGAAATAATATTGGTAAAATTATCTGGAATATTCCTATAGGAAGTTTCTGTTGTAAAACTGCTACATTAGCATGTAGTAAGAGATTGTTGTAATCCTGGTTCTAAGAGCTTCCATGTAGAAAAGAATAATTTAACTTTTTAAAATTATTATTATTTTCATATTCATGGACTTTGAGAGACATAAACAAATGTGCTACATACCTAGCTCTGCATTAATGGGATAATAATAGGTGTGTATGTATGCAATTGTCCCTTTTAATCTATTTCAAAGATATTTTTTTTTTAATTAGGCTATAGGAAATTATTCTTTTATTGCTCTGAGAGTTGCTAACGCACCCTTCTACCTCAGTGTGCCTGCTGCTGCTGGTGTCTCTGCCTAGTGGGCTCTAAGTTGCACAGCTCTCTCTCTCTCTCATCACCTCCAAATTGCTGTTTTGATGCCATCTTGTCAGTGAGAACTTCCCTGACTAGCCTAATTAGAACTGATACCATCTCCATACACAGCCATTCCCATCCTCCATCCTGCATTGCTTTCCTTCTAGCATGAATCATCATTTAATGTAGAGGATGACATGTCACTCATGTACTTAGTAACTTACCTGTTTTCCTTCACTAGAACATAAATACCATGAAGTCAGAGATTCCCCTCTATTTACTTAGAACATTGCCAACATCTCAAAGAATGGCTAACACATAATAGATGTTCAATAAATATGCAGTGAATGAAATATAGGCATTGTCCTTAAGATACAGATAATCTCATTTTATGTTACAATTACAGCTTTATTATCTTTAGTTTCCTGTGTGTGTCCTGGTTTGTTCAGATGTTATACTGAATGATAGTAATCTACCAGCTGATTTCATTTTTTATTTATTTATGGAATATAAAATACAGCTTTAGGATGGTAGACTGCCTCTTGGAGAAATGCATCATCATTAATTCCTTGGTTTTTCTCTGTGTGTGATTCATGTCTTGATTCATAAAGACCTGTTTTTGTGTTTTTAGCAAATGCTATTACTACCTACCAGGATAATATGTGTGTATTATTAACTGTAGGTGTTGGCTACAAACAATTTTTCTTTAGGGATTTTGGAATCAAATCAATGAACAGAGAAAGCAGGACTAACCTGATTTTCATCCTCACTGGCAGCATCTGGGATGAAAATACAGAAACCAAAGTTAAGTGAATGCAAAACAGTTAATAAATAAAACAAATCATTCATTCAGTGAAGTGTCCTGATTGCTTCAATGTCAATATGTTGCTAAACCACAACTTGTTTTAGAACACATTAACATTTAATATGACAACTAAAATAAGAGCATTGCTCCAAGAAATCAGCATATTTACTCCCAAAAGTCTAATAACTCATAAAGATCCAATTACTTTGAAAATAATAGGTATATACTTTCTGATCCTTCACAGCACAGAATTTTAAAACGTACTTTCACAGTAATGTCTGGCAGATTTTCATAGCATAATATATGACTTTTCACTGAAAAATATAAAATACAAAATATCAATTACAATATACTTTAAAATGTAATACAGCACAATGACGGTATAATATCATTTGTATGTATGTGTGTACACATAAAATGTCATTTTCTGTATTCTAGTGACTATACTGCCTCTCTTTACTGCTACAAAAATGATCTATCTGGCAAAAATCCATATTACTGGCGTGCCACTGATAAACACCAGACTGCTAACCGCAAGGCCAGTGGTCCAAATGTACCAACTACGACTCAGAAACCCTATACTGGGTCACTATGAACTTACTTAACAACAACAATTACACACTCTGATTAACAGACTCTTTTCTGTATCTATATATGCTTACATTAGGAGAGTGGACAACATGTAGCTAGTGAGCTCATCAACTTCCCATCTCTGAGATTCTCTTTACAATATATAAATGCTTCAGAGAAAGATAAGTCTAGGGACTTTGTTCCCCTCAAAATCAAATAACAAATGCCAAAACCTATTCCTATAGCACACACAAGTCCTTCATGCTTTAAGAGAAATACTTTCAATTCATTTAGGATTTGAAATCCCACAATTAAAATATGCTGCAAGGTACAACTGCTTAAAAATAAACAAATGATTTAATTAGTTTTTAAAATTGTATACCTTTGATATGTATATACTGCTTATATATAATATTGAAAATATGTACCACAGTATGAATTGACATGGTTGCAAAGAGGACAATGAAGAATAATGTATTACTTTTTTTTAGAACTGACTCAGAAGCAATGGAAGGATTTAGATTATCTTAAACTGTTTGCCATTTCCAAAGAGGACAGCATGGTTGTAGATCCACATATATGATTTTCCCAAGTTCTGAGTATACCAGGATATTTTAATATTTATTATCATTACTTTTATTTTATATTCTCCAGGGCGTGAGATGCATAGAAAGAAGCTTAGATTTAATGCAAATCACTTACCTTGTATGAGGCAAAGAGCCAGGGTCAGAAACATTGGCACTATCATAATCTTCATGATGAAGATGATGTAAGCAGGCTACAAGTTGGCTCCGTGGATTACTCAGCTGTTGCTCAAAGACTGAACCTGTGGAGATGCAGCTTACTTTTATATGAGCACAATTGTTTACATCACATCATGAGGCAAAATTTAAAAACCAGTTTTACAAGGTCATGAGCCACACTAGTCTATCTTCCATCCTATAAAGATCCTGTCATGGTAGCAGATTTCAACAGATAATTTCTAAAGTAATAATGTGCTTTCATGCTATCTTCCCCAGAAAAGAACATATTGGTTCCAAGGACCCTTCTCAAAATTGAATTCCCTGTAATCCTATACAAGATCTGAAATCCTGAGCAACAAAAGACACACTGCCTCATAGCCAGGCATGCTTCGAGCCGGTCTCCTTCAGAACTGGAAAGGGAGGGGAAAAGAAGATAGATTGCTTGTCCTGTCATTCATGTAAAGATTTCCATATCTAGAGGAAGCTTCTTATAGTAAGAACCTATGGTTCCTGTTGCTTTCATTTGCTGTATTGAAATTTCTGAATTCAGTGTCACAGATTCATACATTAATTAGAGTTGGATAATTTTAAAGAATAACCTATCAGAGTTCTCACGTAGACTTCATAGAGAAATAGAAACTCACAGAAGGAGCAATTACTTTCCCAGCAATACACAGTTTAGATGTAAACGTCAGAGCTAACATTTGAAAGCAGATGTCAAGTTCAACATTCTTTCTTCTCCAGACATTGCTTCTCAGTCACATATTAGTAAAAGCAGAAGCATTTTGGAATCAAAGCTTATATTAATAAAATACTTTCAATTCTCAATCTATAAATTATTTTCCATTCTAAAGCCTAATTTTATATTCTAATCACAACATCATAATGCTAAAAAATATTACAGACTCAAAGTGTAGCTTTCCATATTCCATCATTCCCAAATATCTGTCTAAAATCTTTGTCTCTATCAATTTTCTCCTGTGTTCAGTTTATTCTCATACTGTCTGACTACTTAGTCTTTCAAGAAGAAAAGAAGAAAGAAAGTATTTAATAAGTTCTAAATATATAAATTTAAAAATTTCCTAGAGGGAGTTCTTACTTACTCCATTCTTTCGTTTTATTAGTGATTTCTTTGTCTACCAGTTTAATTTTTATTCTACCAACTAAAGTAAGCAGCTGAAAAATTGTATAAAGATGACTGAAGCCAGAGTTAGAAGGTTTGATTCCAATACTTATGGTATCCACACATCTAGAAGGAAATTTTTGGACTCCGTGGGAGCAAAGGTCCTTTTAAGTTTGTGCCAGAAAACTTGTCAAGGCTGGCCAACTTTGGAATTTCCAGTATTCTGAAAAGCATCAAAGCCAGAGCTTTTCTTTTCTTTTCTTCCCAAGAGATAATTTATTTCTTATAAAAAATACAATCATTGATTTCAAGATTGGTTTTATATAACAAGGTGATTAACTGTGTACTTATCCATGGTTCTGTAAAATTAATGGTCATGGAGACTAAATTCAAATTACATTGCTGTTGTACGTTAGAAAACTCAGGTCCTATCATGGTTTATCAGAAAGGACTGGGATTCAGGAAATCTGATTATTTTTCTGCCTTTGTAACTACTTATGTAGACAAGAAACTTGCTTTGGATCTAGGTAGATAGGGGTGCAAGTCTTGACTCGCCAATTACTAGCTGCATTGCATTGGGCAGGCCACATATTTTCTGTGTGTGTATGTGTGTGTATGTGTGTGTGTGTGTGTGTACACCCACTTCTAACTTATCAATGTGGTTAGGTATCAAAAAACAGACCATTATGCAAACATTGGTGACATGTAAAAGTAAAGGATGCCCGTACAAGATCAAGATCGCAAATTGGAGAATTACTATGTTACATAACTGCCAAATTACATCATTACATAATTGCTAGATTGCATCATTACATAACTGAAAACCATGGAGAGTCATGGTCTAACCAAGCTGACACAGAATATTAACATTTACACATCACTGATAGCTTTACTCTGTCTTCTTGGTGTTGATTACTGCCAGATGTACATCATTAATGCACAAAATAGTTGATAGTAGATTTTCTATTATTGTGTTGTTGTTGTTAGGTACAATCAAGTTGGTACCGACTCATAGTGATGCTCTGAACAACAGAATGAAAAACTGCCCGATTCTGGGCCAACCTCTCACTATTGTTGCATGCTTGAGCCCACTGATGCTGCCACTTGCCAATCCATCTCGCTGGGGGTCTTCCTCTTTTTATCTGACCATCCACCTTACGAAACATGATATCCTTCTCCAGTGACTGGTCTTTCCTGACAATATGTCCAAAGTATGAGAGATGAAGTTTGGCCATCCTGGCCTCCAAGGACACTCTGGCTGCACTTCTTCCAACACATATAAGATGTGAAGTGTTGGATAATGAGATAGTCAATAAGTGAAGAGTGCTTTTTGTTGTTAGGTGCTGTCCAGTTGGTTTCAACTCTTCGTGACCGTACCTATATCATAATGAAACAATGTCTGGTCCTATACCATCCTCACAATCATTACTATGCTTATCATTACTAAACTTGAACCTATTGTTGCAGCGAGTGTGTCAGTGAATCTTGTTGAAGGGCTTCCTATTTTTCGCTGACCCTATACTTTTCCAACCATGATAATCCACTTCTGAGATTTGTCCGTCCTGATAACATGTCCAAATTATATGAAAACATGTTTTGCCATCCTCACATCTAAAGAGCATCTGGTTATACTTATTTCAAGTTCATTCTTCTGAAAAGAATATACCAACACCATAATTCAAAGACATCAATTTTTCTTTGATCTTCCTTATTCATTGTTCAGATTACACATACATTATAAAGGACATGGTGATTGAAAAGGATATGGTTTGAGACAGGTGCACTTTACTCTTCAGAGTGACAGCTTTGCTTTTTAACTCTTGAAAGAAGTCTCTTCCAGCACATTTGTGTGTGATCATTTATATACATTTTTATATGATTAGGATGATGTGGTTATATTAACGTCTAAAATTTCAGGAAAACTCAACATCTCTTGAACTTGAAATTCGACCTCAGATTTGTGCATAGGGTCACTATGAGTCAGTATCGACTCAATGGCACCTAACAAAAACAACAGGATAGAATACCTTCCACAACACATTCTAAAATTAAAGAGCAGAGATAAATGCTTCCCCCCCCCCATTTTGTCTTCATATTCTAAAACACAATGTCTAAAACAAATCAAAGCATTAAGTGTTTACATTTTGCCAAAATCATTGCTAGGGTTCAGTCATCATTGATTCCCTAGTTGTATCTGTAAGAGGCTCTTCTAAATCTTAACATCTGAAAATAAATGTTCTTAAATTTTTCACCTGTCCTTGTTATATAAAATGTATCACAGTTGTACTGTATGCCTGTGGTGGTAGGAAAGTTTCTTGCTTTACAATAGAATTGATGACTGTATAATATGCTTGAATGACCCCAAATCTAGCCCAAATGGATGATATTCCTAAAATAGGAAGTAGTACTAGGGTGGAACAAAAGAAGCAGAAGATGATGCTTCTTCAAAGAATCTCTGTTATGAGGAAATGTTGAAGGAGTGGATTTCCTTCTGACTGGAAAAAAGCTCCTCGCAGATACTCAGAGCCTTCTGAAGATTGAAACTGATAACCTCTTCCAAGAAAAGAATCAAAGGAAGATTCAGTGAGCACCTTCAATACTGAAGATGGCTATCAACTGGTTTATATCATCAGGACTTTAGTCTCTATTTTTTTTTTTTTTTTTTTCTTAATTGTGTTGAGAATTTCCCTTCAGTTCCTACTTTATTGAGTGTCTTTTTTTTTTTTTTTTTTTTTTTAGGAATGTTGCAAATCCAAAGGTGATTCATCTCTATTAATCACTCCTTCTTTCTTAAAACCACATAATTTAAATAGAAATGGACAGGACTGAGGTTTTAGAGAACTGGCATTTGGATCAGAATTAGGTCAAAACATTATTTTTCTCATAGTCTAAATTCCATTTTTGTTTCAGCTCTTACAATCATTCATCAATCTGTAGAACTGTCTTTCCTATCATTAAAATTGGGTGGGGCTTAGAAATAAAATGTATAAATTTGCCAGTACTACACAAAGATCAAGTAGGCCCATAATTTGAAGTTACATGAAGGGTATTGACAATGAAGAGAGAAATGAGAAAATTTTCCTGTAAAAAAAAAAAAA